AAAAATAGCAATATTATTATATTCATTATATTCGTACATATCTATATTTATATTTATAAATCAATATTATCTATTAAAAATAATCATACATATACCGGATGATTCTTTTATCATTGAACATTCATTATTTCAAAAAGTATAAATGTTAATAAAAAATCAAGTTTACATTGTTTCAAGTCGTTAAGTTTTGTTTTTATACTTATTTGAATAATGAACAGTTTAAATTTCATACTCAAAAGCAGAATATTTGTAGTATTTATAAATAAATAAAAATATATATTTTTAGCGACTGTGTCAATAAACTTATTTTTATTATTAATAATAAATTAACATAAGTGGATAATGCTCTTATGTGCATTATGTGTCGTAAGGGCTACTGTATTGTCTGTATTAGATATGTTAAATTTAAATTCATTGATTTAAAATCATTGTATACGAATAACCATTTTGAGCAAGAACTTATATATTTTTAAGAAATATGTATATWTATATATATTTTATGATATCATGGCCAATAACGTAATTTATTTTAATATTAGATATTATAGTTACGCCGAAAATATTGCTTTTAAAAAGGTTATTGTGTAGATAAAAACATAAAAATATACTTTAAAACACCGAGGATTAATATTTTTAAATTACAAAAAAAAAAAAAAAATTAAAATGTTATTCTTCGTTTAAATATATAATTCTCTTTAAATTTGAATTTAAAATAGCTATAAAATGAAACTGAGTTTATATATTTTTATATTTTGTGATGACCGTATACTATTATGAGGTACCATATTTTAAGTTTTAAATATTGAACTTCTTATAAATTTTTAATTAGGTACTAAATAGTTTTGTATTTTGATGAATTATCCAACATATGAAGTTTAAATATTTTTAAATAAAATCTTGTCTATGCATTTTTAATGTGCCTATTATGAAAAATTACGAGTAACTTTTTGTTAAGCTATCAAGTTTTTTGATCGACCGATAATTGTTTCATCGATATTTATGTATAAAAAAAAACCAAGCATTATTTATAATATTGAAAATGTTTATAAATAGCAGAAAAATAGACAAAATATTTATAGGTAAAATTATAATTTGTATAAAAAAAGCTTATATAAATAATTGGTTAAAATTTAAACTATTTAAAGTTATTCATTTTTGAATTATAAAAAATTCAAAAATCGTTACGGGTTAATATATAATGTCAACAAAATTGAAACTTCGAACGTTCATAAAAATTAATTTTATTTTCCAGGGAATATATTATTTGTTAATAGTAGAAAACTTATGAGGACTCTTGTTATAAATTATCTTGTTTTTAGACCGAACAAACATTTTTTAAATGAAACTAACGAAAATAGAAAATTTCTTATGCCTACAAATAACTCAAAAACAGCCAACATTTCTTAAAAATATTATGTTGTATAGAAAATGTTATAAAAAAAACCCGTTAATAAAATCATTTATTTCTATGAATATTTAATTTWATTTATAATAAATTTTAGTTTAATTAAAAAATATATTATGCCAAAAACTAGTTTCGCATAAAATTTCTGGGGTTTTCTACTTTTTCTTTGTTTTTCTTGATACTTTTGGCCATTTTCAGCCTGATGAATCTATTAAATAGAGTCACTTTCCAACCAAAATAAATAATGATGTTGAAAATCGAAGTATTATTCAACTATTTATTGTGTACAGGACACAAAAGAAAAAAATACATCGCTGTAAAATCAATAAATAAATCGCTTTGCTCAGAATCTAAAGTAAATTAATTTTGGTTTTAAATCAGAGTCAGAATGGGGTAACTATATAAGCTTTAAGACTCGGAATGACTTCTTAGGAAATTGGGTGTGCAGCATTTTTTGTATTACCAAATAATATTATCAAAATACAAGTGTATATATGTGTTTGAGCTTTGAATAAAGATTTATTTGTCATTGAACTTCKGTGAATAGGATCTTTTAAAAGCAGCAAAAAAATCAAAAAAATCACGAGTACGATTCATTTATTAGGATCTCTATATTTCGGTTGTAAGAATAAAAAATCGTTTTCATTTAAAAGAATCTAGCACAAAATGAAGATCTGAATATATATATATGTAATATGTACAGCGAGGCATGAATATTGTTTCCACCGTCAAAATAAACTAAAATTGAATACCATCGTCGAGTAGTGCGAATAAAAAATACTCATTTTCAATCACTCTTAAGACCAAATATTCTCTCGTACAACGGCTAAAATCTATATAGAGTGATTCGCATAAAAATTAAATTTATTTTCTCAAAAGTTTAACGCTTTTTGAAATATTTTTTTTACATATTTGATTAAAAACAATATTTTTAGAAATAATTTATTGTAGTAGATAACATTTTGTGAGACATAAAAATACCAAATGAATTTACCAAAAACAAGTTTTTACTAAAAATTCACGAAGAAGAAACAATATCATGCACTTGCATATGTTATATTATAAAATATCTATCAAAGTCATACACACATCTATGAATAATGSTCGTTTATGTACTATATAATATCTAAAAGCTTATTGAAATCCAAACAATTTTTTTTGCTCCATATCGTATAAAATGTATGAAATATGTGAAACTGACATTTAGAAGTCATTTGTATATAAATAAATTTTTTTTTAAACCTGCACTATAGGTATATAAAATATTCTGTCTCGCGCAGATGTATAGGCATTAGGCACACAAACTTAATATTTTTATTTAAGTTTAGAGTAGAATGTAGAACAAGATGATATCTACATATTTATATATTATTGTGACGTATTGCATTTAACAATTTTGTTTTTGTTTGTTTGTATAAATTCAATTTTTTTTTACACCTATATAGGACTTCAAAACGTTTTATGTAACTATTTATACAAATTCAAAAATGAATACAAGTAGACATTCAATGTTATAATGCTGCAAGGAACGTAATTTATAGTGTTAATATAGACCGCATGTTTTAACTTGATGTGTTTGTATTGTTATTTGGGAAAACTGTAATATCTAATTGTATAATATACACTATTGATGTTTTCACTGGTGGTCAACTTATGCAATTCATAAATMTTTTCTAGAAAAATTAACCATAAGAATTGGGTTCCCTATTTTGAAGAGTCAAATCAAGGAGATATTATTATGCATTATCTATATAATATTATGAATAGTTAATGGTGTTTGGTTTACAATTTTTAATCATAACTCATAGTATTTGTTTATTTAAAGTATAACTAGYTTACAAAATATTAATAAATACCATGTTTATTTCGTACATTTATTTCAAATATTTTTTCCCCAACTATATTGGTTTAATATTTGATTATCGACATTTTGAGGAATTTGAAATTTGAAATATAAAAGTTTTCATTAAGAGGACGCTACACCTGCATGTGTTGTCTCCGTCTTACAAGTAAGTAACATTGCAAAAACTGTTTCGCGCGGGAAAGAACCGAGAAGGCTACAGTCATAACTAAGAAACGAAATTCTCACAACAGATAAAAGGGAATTTCAACTGTGCAACGTTGTTTTTATTTTTTTGATATTA